TTCCTTTTATTTCATCATCAGAATCTCCTCAGTGGACTTGTTAACTGTCTTTATTGGGGTAATGAAAATTCTCACACTGAGAGAGATTTTTCCTACTATTGGTTTTAGAAATTGGCGAATGTTGCTGCCTAATGTCAGGCATCAGCTTACTGTTGAAAATTTGTTGGGACCAGGTGTGGTGGCTCACACCTATAATCCCAGCACTTTTGGAGGCCTAGGTGGGAGGACTTCTTGAGGTCAGGGGTTTGAAACTAGTCTGGACAACATAGTAAGACTGTCTCTACAAAATTTTTTTTAAACAATTAGCCAGGGTGTGGTGGCACGTACCTGTAGTCCAGCTGCTTAGGAGGCTGAGGTGGGAGGTTTGCTTGAACCCAGGAGTTCCAGGCTCCAGAGAGCTATAATCATGCCAACTGCACTCCAACCTGGGCAACAGAGAGAGAGACCCCATTTCCCCCCAAAAAAAAAAGAAAGAAAGAAAATTAGTTGGGCCAGCTTTATGTGTTAAGACTGTCTGTATGCTCCTTTAGAGCACTTTTAGAATATATGAGTTGCCAGGTGCAGTGGCTCACTCCTGTAATCCCAGCACTTTGGGAAGCTGAAGCAAGAGGATTGCCTGAGTCCAGGTGTTTGAGACCAGCCCGGGCAACTTAGCGAGCCTTCATCTCTACAATAAATCAAAAAATTAGCCTGTGTGGTGGTGCGCTCCTATAGTTCCAGCTACTCGGAAGGCTGAGGCAGGAGGATCGTCTGAGTCCAGTAGGTGAGGGTGCAGTGGCTGCGAGCAACAGTGAGATGCCAACTCAAAAAAAAAAAAGAATGCATGTGTCTTTGGGGCTCCAGGTCTGGGAGGGACCGAGTCGAGGAGAGAAGGAGAGAAACCATGTGGCGTGTGGCTGTGAACCACAGCAGCTCGGAATTGCTGGAGCACAGAGCTGGGGGTGGGAGGTGGGTTGTGGCTGTAGAGGAAGGCAGGGGCTGGACTGTGGGGAGCTTGGAGACCTGTGAAGACTCTTGGGCTTTATTTTGTAGGTGCTGGAAAGCCACTGATAGGTTTCAATTGGGGGTGACAAGGCGGGGTTTGGTTGTGATCACTTCAGGGGCTCAGGGGGGTGGAATTTGAGACTGGGAGGGAGAATGATGGGAGGCTCTGGTTCAGGAGAAGGATGTCGACATTCTGAACAAAGGCCGGGGCGGTGGGAGATGAGAATGTAGCAGGCGGGAGGAAGATCTCCACACACAGGACCAGATGATGGATGGTTCTGTAAGGTTAAGAGCTCGGTCTCAGGACGCGTCGCAGGTTTCTGGCGTGAGTCAAGTGGAGGGGTGTGGTGTTGCCAATGGAAACAGAGGAGGCAGAACACGGGCCGAGGAGCAGCCCAAGTAGGGGAACAGAGATGTCCCCCCAGAGACTGGAGTCTGAAGAGCGTGCAGTCATTCACATGCAAAGAGAGCAGCCGTGGACAGTGGAATCCGAAAGCAGATGCGCCCAGATCAGGGCTGGGAAGTATCTGCCTGGGGCCAGAGTGCCTGGATTCAAAATCCAGCTGCATCTCTGAGTGGTGAGTTTCCATGAAGCTGTACAGTGGTGACAAATGACCTCCAAGTCCCTGTGGCTTAACACTAACTCTTCTATCCTCGTTGACATGTATGAAGGCTGAGGGTCAGTGTTGTCTCTGTTCCATTCTTTCTCATTCTGGAACCCAGGCTATAGGGGAACCCTCTTTCTTTTTTTTTGAGATAGGGTCTTGCTCTGACGCTCAGGCTGGAGTGCAGGGGCATGATCATTGCTCACTGTAACCTCGAACTCCTGGGCTCAAGTGATCCTCTTGCCTCAGCCTCCTGAGTAGTTGGAAATACAAGTACTCAGCACCACGTTTGGCTAATTTTTGAATTTCTTTTTTGTAGAGATAGAGTATCACTGTGTTGCCCAGGCTGGTCTCAAACTCCTGGCCTCAAGTGATCCTCTGGCCTTGGCCTCCCAAAATGTAGGGATGACTGGCATGAGCCCCTGCATCCGGCCATGTGATGACCCTGGCAGCTTCTGCACGGACAGAGCACATAGCCCTTCCGCTCATATCCTATTGGCTAAAGCAGGTCATGCAGGCAAGCTATTGTCATGAAGTGGGGAAGTGTCAGGGTGGATGGTTCCCCCATGGGAGAGACAAGAAGGTAATGGGGGCCCCATGGTACAATCCACTCCAACCACAAAAAACTCTGGGCCCTTGGGGGTTGACTGAACTCTCTGCCTTGGTTACCTCATTTGTGAAACAGGACTGAGAGCAATACTTCTAAAGACTGGTAAGAGAATTCACTTAGTCTGTGTAAAGCGCTTAGAACAGTGCCCAGCGCAGAGGGCACACACTGTAAAGGCAAGTGGGTGGGGTGGGGGATGAGTTAGTGTTTTTTTTATTTTTTTTATTTTTATTTTTATTTTTTTATTTTTTTATTTTTTATTTTTTTTGAGTTGGAGTCTCACTCTGTCGCCCAGACTGGAGTGCAGTGGCCGCTCCCGGCCACCGCAGCCTCGGCCTGCTGGGCTCCGGCGATCCTTCCACCTCAGCCTTCCGAGTAGCCGGA